CATCAAGATTTTATTCCTAGAATGACAAGATTTTTTATTCTCACATTAAATAATAATTCACTAACGAACGAGTAATTGATTGGAAACGTGTCAGCAGGTCATTGGCATTGTGAACAACATTTTTATTGGTTTCTTACGATTTTTAGAGGCAAATTGACACAGCCACATCCTGTTGTCACGGTTTTCTTCAGGGGTTCTATTATCAAGATAATCTCAAGGTTAACTGTAATTGGAGATAAGTTGATTGGTGTGTGCAGTGGACGGGTACTTGATGAGGTTTTGATGGCAAATATCTGGGAATTAAAGATGGGGAATTGAATAGAGATGAATAAATTGCCCCAGAGAAAGTACTGTGGACATGAAAAAAACTTCTTTTCCAAATTACAGTTTTATCTATACAGAAAAGAGATTAGGTGCGCGACTTTTGTGGTTTTTTTATTTATTTTGTAAAATTATAATTTTTCATTTAAATTTGTGATTGAAATGAAATTAAAGAAGCTTTTTATGAAAAGTTTTATTGCTCTTTAATCAGAATTCTGTAAGAATTCATAAATAATTTTGATAGTTTGGTTTATTAAATGAATGTGCAAAATTATATAATTTTTATATAGATAGTATTCATTAACAATTGAATGGATTTGTTGGTTTCTTGTCCTGAAATCAATTAAAAATTCTCCACAGTAATGTATCTATCTGTCTTCTGATGCTGCAAATAAAAAAATATATAAAAAGCATCTACCAACGAATTATACTATATATAATAACTATATATTTCTGAAATTTATAAAGAACATTAAATAAAAATACAAAAAAAACATATATTTCATACATTTTTCGTACATGAATTTGACCGTTTCATACTTTTGAGCAATTTCTTAACCGTAATAACTATATTATCAGTATAATATCAATAAATATAAATGTAGACGTTCAAAATGTTTTTATGAAAATTTTAACCGCTCCAAATCAAAAGATATTTACTGAAAGTTATGTGTTCAAAAAAGTGACCCAAATAACTGTATCACGATTTCACGGTCAGTTTTTTTCGAGGAAATAGTTCTTAATCCATGAAATACCGGAATTCCAGGGCGGATAATCTTATAATAATCTCACGTGTAATTAATTTTCTTCGGTTTTTTAATATCCTCTTGAGATAAAAACTTATAGTGCAATTGTTGTAATCGATTTTATTATTTTGCTAGTTTGCTACACATTTCTGTTGATTGTGTGCATTGGATCAGAGACAACGAATTGAACACGAAAAAAATACTTGAATCAAGTATGTCTTATACTTGATCCTAGTACATCCGATTTTCAACTAATATCGATGAAAAATTGATTCTTCCACGATTCTAATAATAATTATGAACATACTAGCATCAAGCATACAATATATTTAAAGTAAATATAATAATATATTTACTTTAAGTATATTCATATAATTATTGCAAGTATATAGTTAAATGAAGTATTAATTTTTTTCTGTGAAAGTACTTTTGCAGATCTTTATAGTCTTATACTGGCAGAAAGTTACAAGAACATCAAATTTGTATTATCCGTTGTTAGGTACAT